GTATATTAGATTGTGCATATAGACAGGCTGTGKCCGTGTTGTTGTAACAGCAGGTGCCCATTTTACGCGAAATGGTGAGAGACTGCCAGCGTTTAACGTATTAAGCGGGAATATTTAATGCAAAATCAACAAGGCCTCTGTTGGGCGGCGGCACACGAGGCACATATTGGAGTGCCAAACAACCGCACAAACCCATACACACATATGTATATATATTTCCATATACTCATCCACATCTCCATATGCACGCTACCACTGTGTATTACACACGCTCCGCTACATAAAAACAACAACTACAACAATGAGTAGCACAATCGCATCGCCAGCAGAGGCATTTAGTCCACACTGACCACCAATACTAATAGTCAACAATGCTGGGGGAGCGACATTGTCGTTAAGCACAGCAAATGAGTGCCAATAACAACAACAGCAACATTGCGTAAGTATATATCTGACTGTGTGTGTGGTACGCTATTAGCAAATGTTTGTTTGTAAGCCTGTTTGGAAGTTTTGGGAACAAAAGCATTTGGTCGGCTAAGTCGCCATGCACCGCTAGTTTGCCAGCGCTGTTGGTTGGATGGACAAGTCAACTGAGCTTACATAACTTGTCGGTCATAAGACTGGGTCATAGTGGTGTGGGTTGTTGCGCTGCTTATACATACATACATATATCTGCRCTATTGTTATGTAGTTAAAGCGGTCTGTGGACATTTTCTTTTTGTTTTTTTAGCGTAGCCCACATGTTTGACTGCCGCCTGCTGCATGCCTTTCGTTTTACCCGCATACATGCCAGAGTTGCTTGCAATTGACCTTGGAAATGGTCAAAGCAAACCGTGCTGGTATGTARTCGTACATTGGTAGTTGAATATAATTTAATAAGCGTACATACCCTYTTCTGCCTATTGTACATATTGCTATATTATATTGTAAGTTTTGTTTACTAATTGTATTTGTCATTATTTTATCAAAGCCATACCGAAATATGGATTATTGATGAATTCTAAATTGTATATTTAAGTAGATGTTTTACAAGCTTGGGCTGAGAACTCACAACTGACTGCTTTTGATTATGAACTACGGTCCTTAAATTTCTGATCTTTSCGAGCTTACATTACTGACATTTTATATTTTTTTGCAAAACTTGCGAAGGATTTTCGAATGATTTTTTGTGGAGGAAATAACGTAAACCAAGTAGAGGTACTTTTTAAATAGATTTGKTTTTGATAGATTTCTCAGGAGACCTGTCAGGTTGTCATGTTATTTTTATTCAGTRTTGTTTGTCATTTCAWTATGAAAAAATCATTCAACTTTATTGCGAAGATCCACATTCTGTAAAAATTATGTTTCGCGCGCTTTTCTGAGCGTACTATTCCATCATCATCMWTCTTGGGACCAAGTATTCATTMTTGGAAAATATTCGAACGAATAGATCAAGTGCCGGTGAGAACGTARACGTCAATGGCGAGCTTAATATAGCAGTCAATGGCATTTTAGTTATGACATTCGACAGCCTGTGCATCTTTACTCCTCACATGACCGCGATTATTGCCAAAGTACAGAGCCACAACAAAATCCTCAAGTCGCTTGCCGGCAGCACATGGGGTAAAGCCAAAGAAGCGCTGTTGGTCGTCAGTCTGCAGTGAAACGCAGTCGAGGAAGTTACAGACATGACAGGCACTGCTCTCCCGACTCAGCGGGATGTCCCTTGATGTYTCGCAGCGAACACCTGCAGAATGAGGCACGTATTCGTCCTGTTAAAGAGCATAATGAACTCCTCTTCGAGAAGTTTATGTTGGGGTGGTTTCGTAGAAATCCTTCCTCAACTACGTCGATGACGTAAAACAATGGGTCGACCAGACTTCAAACTTCAGATGCAACAAACTGCACAGTACAGACATTAACACCTTCAACGACTACCTTTCAGTGAATGGCGCACTTGCAGTCTAATACTAATACATTGCAGACAAAGAGCTCAAGTTGTGGCGCGAAACGAGAGTAACTYTCACATAGCTTTGTTCTGGATACTGTAGCATTTTAAACTCTTACKCATCCAGAATCGACCCTGACATCAAATATATGCCCAGCTGGCAACGATCCCTCACACGACACTAACCACATCTTTGCATGACCTGCTAACCCTACACCTCTGATACGCCATGATAATTAACTAYAAGTTTTTKATGCCTGAAATTGAAGCTCGTGATCTCGGCGACAATTTGTTTCTACAGGACGGTGCCAYTTYMCGCACATCGCATCAATCAATAGACTTATTGAAAGAATACTTCGGAAGGCAAATAATTTTCACATATCTCACYATTAGACTTTTTTCTTTGAGCAAAACCTCACCCTCACGAATGGGCCAGCAGAGACGTAGCCGTGAACAACGTTTTAAAGAGATAACGATGATAATCTTCAAAAAATAAATGCATAAGAATTTTCTTCCGAATAATAATAATTATTATGTGTTTTTTCTGTAAAAGTAGGGAACTTCGAAATGGTATGTTCAAAAAGTACTATTCAATCCTAATGAAAATGAGGGGTTCAAGTAAATATAAAATTGAATAACTAGATCAAATCTAGATAAGAAGGCAAATTAAAATTATCGAACAATTGCACCGTAATGTTTGTAAGGATTTTGAGTGAGGTGAGTTTTGTTCTTTTTTTAATATAAATAAATTTGTTTTTCTAAGAAAACATTATTTTTCATGATAAAAATGCGGCTTATACCTGCTAAATTCCATACAGCAAAAGGGCATTTATGTATGAAATAAAACAATAAATTTCAAATTTTCAGTTTGGGTTGCCGTAAAATTGAGATAGCTGAACCTTTAAAAATATCAAAGGAACATTTTAGACAATATATTATTCCTTGCTTCAAATGACAATTCGCCTGAAAGAAATTTAACGGYAATTAAGTAATAAATGTATACATATATTAAAAGAGTTTTCTGCGAAAAATTATGCAAATAAAATTTATGGACTTTAATAACTTGACAACGGTGAACCAAGAGATTAGCTATAGCTTACAAAAGCGTTTATGAAAACATCCAAAACAGTTCAGTGGATCAGAGGACATAACAAATCATTGGCATGGCTTTTCGAATATTTACTTTTTTGCCGTGCTAAGCAATCAGTCTAATGCTGTGGGTGGTTACGTAATTAGTATAAACGATGAAAAAGAAGAAGTGAACCGCATACAGTGTAGTGTTTATTTATGCTTTTGTGTCATATTTTGTCCGTATCTACTGTAAGGTTTGACATTAAAGTTTTAATGGCTTCGTCTACAAATGAAATTGTCGCTATTGGGTGTGAGTCCAATCCTCGTCTGGTTCAGGAAGCGCGATTTCATTCCCAAAAATTTACAGCTTGGACAGTTTGGTTTAACGGGCCCTAATTCTATCAAAATAAAACTATCAGCATAAGAAACAAAAAAGTTTCCATTTTTGCCAGGCTTTATGCAGGGCACTAAGGGCTCATGAAACACTTGTCCAACATGAGTATAGTCTCTTTTGCGAACTGGCGACTTTGCGCCATGGAACAAGAAACTCCAGAACACCTGATTCTTGGTCGCCTAGCAATTCTTAGAAGCAGGCTCAAGACCCTAGGTTCCTTCTATRTGGATAGGGATCACATCACCTCGGTCTTGCCAATCAAGCTCCTGAAATTGTTCAGAGTTCTSGATMWTTGTKGCCATATGTGATATWRGAGAGGSCACAATAGACCATATGTCGCAGTGTATAGCCTCAATTATTTTCTTTTTGTCTTAAATATGTTTTCCAGATGATTTTAGACTTCATCTTATTACTAGCTAGCTTTTTTAACATACCCCATATACAACTGTAGCCACAAAAGCTTCAAACAAATCATATAAATTTTTTAAAAGCTTAACCAGAACTTCTGCGACCTTTAGTATAGGCGTTTATTGATTAATATTTTAATGTTTTTCACCCGCGTGGGGAGAAGTAAGGAGAAAATTAAGAGTTATTGCATATGAAAGTAATATATAAATCTATTCTATTGGAATATTGATTTTTGAACTGAAAATTTCAAATTGTAATTATTGCATTTCATATATCATGCRCTAGTTTCCATGTATATGTATCTTGTGATTTTTGGTTTCTGCGCTGAAACTGATTTTACTAAAAAATATCGGTATGAAAGAATGCGCTTGTTTCATTTCCTCATTGCTATACTATGTATACGTGGGACTAGCGCAAAATGTCGTAACTACCTTGCCAGCTGCAATAAATTCACTTTAACCATGCCACAATATCGTAACCTATACCCTGCTCACTAACTGCATTGTCCGGCTTGCCAGCGCAACAACCTAGCGCCGTGTATAATTTCCCTCCACAAATGCGGTCCCCACTTTGCAATATAATTCTTTTAACAATCGGTAATTTGTGGTTTTTGCGGTCGCATTTTCAGTTGTTTTCACTTGCTGKTTTATTTATAGTACCGCTTTCGCGCACACAGTTGCCAACACAAATGTGAACACAGCCATTAAATGTTATTGTGTTGGTAGCAAGTTGACCGCTACAGCCTTTTAATTGCATATATTAGGGGTTTTTCGCATGGTTGGCTGGCTACCCGCCTGACTGAGTGGCAACGGCAACTGGCTGAGTTTCTGCATGAAATTGCACCTGGCCAGTTTCTATTATTATTTGCCGTGTTGTGCTTTTCATACTTTTATTTCGTGATTTCGTTTCACCGGTGTTTATAGCTTTTTTCACTTTCCGGTTACTTTTTCCGTCTATAATTGTTGATTGTTTTGTCATTGACTAGCGACTTGCAAATGAGTTTTGCTTTGTTCAAATATTCGCGTTTCAATTTCTTTACGTGAAAGTAACCCGTGTAAGTTGTTGCGGTGGTGAAATCATTCACTAAGYTAAATTGAAATARTTCACAAAGATAAGTTAAATTTATTCACCGAGTTAAGTTGATACAATTCACTAACTTTTCTCTTTAATAATTTACTGTGCGTATTGACCAACACTTACCTACCACATCCAGATAGCCCATTTGACTTTTCATTGGATCCGTATTTATTTGACACATATACCAGCCTTTATCATTCTCTTTGATATCTTTGATTTTCATAGTCCACGTTTTGTGTTCGGAATTCGTTATGCCGATGCGTTGATTTTTTGTAATCACATGATTTTGTATGGTCAAAATTGTTTGTGTATCTACGCGCAGCCACGCGACCTGAAATACATGAGAGACATTTTGTTAAAACTAGGGTGGAAAGTGAGAAGAAATACTATTCGTATAGATAGATATAGATCTTTAAAACTTATGTATAATAAATCCATCTAAAAAGATATATTCCCTAAGTTCACATTTCAGCGCGAATTTCATAAAACTTATTATATTTAATAATTATCAACAGTTTAGGAAGAGCATACTTTGAAGATATAAACGAAAATTTCTTTAAAATTCGGTGGGCTACTAATATTGTATATTGATATTCTATTACTAATTATAATTAATTATTCATATATCATAAAAACTCGAATGAGAAACATTAAAAAAATTTTGGGGAAGCTACAGTTATTACGAGAAATTTCCTATAAATGTAATATATTTATATTACTAAGTCTCCTGGCATCACTTCAAACTCAGTACACATCACATCTAATTTTTTTTTTTAAATTCTTCCTTATTTAGAGCAGTTCACGACATCCGGTCATAGACGAAGCATTCTTTGGGGAGCCGAAAAACATCTTTGTGAAGGCGAGCTAAAGTGAGAATAATATATAATCTCATATGATACATACATCCTATATATATTACCATATRACAATACTGAGTCGTATCATATCGTGTTATACTGCGGTATCACATAATATCGTAATTTTACATCATTTAACTCCCAATCATATTATAGCATAAAACTCAATTGTTAGCACTTGTAATCACATATAATATAAATCATGAAATCATATCGTAATATTTCGTATCATACCATACCATAGTATCACATAGCTTCGTAACAAATCAATGTATTTCATTATAAATTACATTTATAACATCAACACATATTTTATCATATAYAAAAATTCTTTTTTTAATCACACACAGCAGTTGACAGCTAATTAGAAATGCTSCCTTTTTTGAAGGTGGCTGRTGAGTACAATAATAAAAAATTTTGATATACYATACCATTAGTTATATTTCTAAAAGTATTGCATTGTTCGTGTTACTATATTTTTACTACTAATTTCACTATGTTTTGTAATGGTGAAGTTAAAGTTCTTTTTAAGTGCKATAGCTAATTAGAAACAGSTGTTTAAAGAATTGAAATTCCCTAAGRTGTTAATTTTTGTTAATAATATTATTGATTTCTGGTAAGAGKGTGTTTCACAGTTGTAGTTTAAAATGTATTATTAACGTTTTTAATGAGGAAACSCTGCAGCTGTACGCCCTWCGCAGCTAYATTTTTGACCTTCGCCGGTTTGGAATGATGTGCAAAGAAATTTGAAATGAGATCAAATGCTCAAAAAACATGCTTTGAATGTCCTTAAGCATATACAGAATTTTAAAACTATTGCAGGCAAAGAAAAAATCCAAAAAATTTCAACAGAATTATACAGCGGAATTAACACTATCTCCCGAAGWGAAACAAAAATAGAGTTCCACGTATAAACGACGCGTAGTACACCAAAAATAGCCCAAATACGGATGTGCGTTTTTGATGAAATTAGAACGCCATGRCAAGCTACAACATTGGTGSGCTRCCAGAGTCTTTTAAMGTAAATTTGGAAWCGATCWGAAGCAATATTAAAGTAAAAGACATAACCAACAAAATATTAACTGAAAGTAAGCAAGTTTTTGTCATATTATTATTTTTGTTGATAAAATATTTCTAATTAGCTGTCGCACTCCAAACGTTGATTCCACATGTTTTTGTTAAAATCTTCAGAACAAAAACGAATTTCAAAAAGAAAAAATTGTACTCTTACAGTTTAAGTTTAGCATACGTTTCAATAAAATAAGTGAAAATATAAGAAAAATACGTATCACATCGTACTACTTTGTTAATTTGGGCACAGTTCATCTACCTTAGGAGAGTAAAATAACCATAAAACTGTCTTAAAAACATTGTAGTATCATTTTCAAAGCAGTTAAATCATGAGTTTGCCATATCTCCACAAAATTTCTTTGATCATTCGTTCACTMAGCAATACCATTATTATGATTAAAGCCAACTCGTCTAGACCSAAACCGAAAACACAGGTGACCTGTTGTCTCATATGCAAATAAGTAAATGAAGTGAAAAGAATCACAGACAATTGGACAGGTAATGAATAAATTTAAAACAAACAAACAAGTGGAGAAACTGAAAAAACATACACACATACACACAAAAACAGGCGGAAATGCAAAGGATGTACACAATTACTTAAAATAAGAGATGTGGAGAAGGCAGTTGTTATGATAAACAAAACCAATTCTTGAAATGTAGAGGAGTTGGAGTGCTAAAAAGAACAATAATAATAAATGTGATGTGGAAAGAGTGCGAAGAGAAGTACATATAAATAGTAGGTAGGGAGGTGGAAATGAGAAACGTTAAGGGGGAAAAAATAAGCATAATCGACGGGTGTTGAGAACATAACTGAAAACAACAAAAATCAYAATGAAAAMACTTTGGTTTGCAATACTTTTGTATTGAGGAGCGGTTTCTCTATCCTACTATAACAAAAATAAAGATTATTACGCTTAAAGCAAAACAATTCAATGTTAGAACTGGTAATATTATTTGGTAAGCTTTAGAGAACAACCGATGGACAACGCAGATAAGATATGTTATTCTAAAGTCAAGTGCTTTTAAAAAAAATATAWAAAAACACTTCAGCCCAACATAAACATTAAATAATAAGGRAGCGCTAAGTTCGCATGAAACCGAAAATTTTATAACCTCGCAATATGTAAGGATCAAAAGCAGGAAAATATTTTAGGTGTAGGAAAAACTTGGTAGGGAGGATGGAGTCATGTGGAGTTAAGTGAGGAAAGTTCTCTGATTGATATTTACTTGGGGGCAGCTCAAGTAGCTCACGACTTCCGGTCTTTGACCAAGTATCCTTTGCTGCTGGTTGATATCCTCATTAGAGTACAATGGCCATATAAAAGAGCGCAAATTCGGTATGGGATTCGTGGTGGGTCTAGTCACAATCCACATCAAGGCGAGGTTCTTCAACATAACGCTGATTTGCGCCCACTTCGTGACGAAAAAAAGAACGATATGACTAAAGATTCTTTATATGAGCCCTTGAGAGCTGCTAGCGCCACGGTTTCAAAATCGTTTTTAACACCAGGTGGARAAGAAGATATCACAACAGTCGGTAAATTCAGCCTTCACGAGGAAACATCCCCAAATGGATTGGTCGACTTCGCCGGAGCCCAAAATATAGTTATCTGTAGTACTAGATTCCAGCACAAGAAAATATATCAAGCTACCTTGCTGTCCCCAGATCGAAAAACCACCAACGAGATCGATCATATTGTAATAGATGGAAGACACGTCTCCAGTGTTTCAGACGTGCGTACGCTCCGAGGTCCTAACATCGACGCGGAATAAGGTACCTTGTTGCAACCAAGATTCGCACAGGCTTCTGTGCAGAAAAAAAAACGCACGTCAACAAAAACAAGGAAGGTTCGGCGTCGAGAAGCTGCAATCACAACAAAGAGCCGACCGATTTTCTACTCGAATTGCACTCCTGCTCTCTGAGAACACTCGTCAACAACTCGGTATAAGGGAACTGTGGGACGGCATTTCAAAGGAGTTTGCTACAACCGAAACCATTGGTTTTCGGAAAGTACAAAAGAACAGCTGGTACGATGAGGAGTGCCGTGTCGCAGCGAAGAGAAAACATGCTGCCTACCCGACAACGTTACAATCAACCACAACACGTGAGGGATGGGTTACATACCGAGAGTTTAGGAGGGAAGTGGGATGCATTTGCAGACAAAACMACAGAGAGGCCGAAATGTGTTAGTACAAAGAGTTACAARCTGCCCGACAGAGGTACTACTTGAAAATTCTACGAAAAGATGCGGCGACTAATTGAAGGTTTCGAGGCCGAAGCATACTCCTATATARTCGCAGATATGGTCTAGTGACTAATACCCAGAGCGTCTGAAATTATGGAGGACGTTGAGCAATACCAAGAGCTCCGGGAGATTCGGTAAGGACTCTCAGGGTTGCTCGACGCTAAACGAGGTTTTATACAAGGCGATTTCGTACCGTGCGATTTCTTCAATCTACTGCTGGAGAAGAAAATTCGAGCTGCAGAGCTAGATAGAGAAGGTAGATATTCTATATCTACTATTCTGTAATAAGAAGCAGTGACTACGCCGCCTAGGTCATGTCGTCCGAATGGATGAAAGCACTCCAGTTCTGAGAGTATTTGATGCAGTACGCACCGAGAGAAGTGGAGGAGAAGGAAGGACCTGGCTATACTTGGAATTACCAATTGGCGCCAAGCAGCGAAAAGGAGGAACCACCGGCATGTTTTTGTAAACTCGAAGAAGAAAATTTGAAATTTATCGGGTCACTTTTTTAGAATTTGGTTTACACTATTGTCGGTTTAGTAAAGATCTTTACCTTTTATGAAAAAATTAWATAGCTTTTGATCACTGAAGGGGGTGTAGATTCTCAACAGTGAAAGAATTTTTCAAATCCGTCAAGTGGTTTCGAAAACTTTTCAGTTCAAACACACAAACAGTTAAACTGTTTCTCCTTATATTGTTAGTATACATAACTTTATATTTTGGTACTTACAAACAACCGTTGGGTGGGACAAAAACCATTATACCCTTTAGAAGCATGTCGTGAGAGTATAAAACTTGCAGTRGAAGAACTCTTCAGCTATTAAAGCCACAAAGAGCGAAGATCCACTTCATGTAAGTAGCATTGAGTTTAGTTTCTCTTGAATATCTAGAGTTGAATTCGCCACAATGAATTGAACAAATGAAGCATATGACTATAATAAGCAACAAACATGTTGTGTTTTTGTAATGAGAAAATAAAACCACACTTCTTCTCACTGAATAAAAGCTAAGAAAAAAGTGACAATACAAAACGGAAGTAAAACGCACGACAACARGAAGTTAGTAATTGCACTGGTAGGGAAGAAATTAATAAAACAAAAACAACAGTAATAATACAACAAAGCGCGTATGAAGAGCAAGAAAATATAATAAGC